AGCTGGAGTACCGCAGTCGACGGCGAGCACTTCCGGGTTCGACTTATGACGCGATAAGTCGAACCCAGAAGTTCGATTGCCAGCCGCCGAACTAGCGGGTATAGACATACCCTAAGTGGAATACACGTCTCCATCGCATCCTGAAGAACCAGTTTCAGTAAGTAACCATTTCTTCCTTTATGCCAGGGGTTCTCAAACTGGGGGTCGGGACCCCTCAGGGGGTCACAAGATTCTTACATGGCGGGTCATGAGCTGTCATCCTCCACCCCAAACCCCGCTCTGCCTCCAGCATTTATAATGGTGTTAAATATATGAAAAGTGTTTTTAATTTATAAGGGGAGTCGCACTCAGAGGCTTTCTATGTGAAAGGGGTCACCAGTACAAAAGTTTGAGAACCACTGCTTTAATCCCTTTTCCCAGAGCCAGGCAAATGCCACAAAACTGTGCAGCATTCATCTATATTTCATTGATTGCACCTGGGGAGATGAAAAGCAACAAGGAGCTTGTACTAAGCGCCTTAAAGCTGCCACATATACTGTTCCACTTAACTTTTTCCACCCCAGGTACATAGAGGGAGCCTTTCAGGATGCATTTTGGGGGATGAATCATCTACTGGATGTGCTTGCTGAATAAATGAATCTGAGTTACAAAGAACCTGGGTAAAGATGTAGATCTGCAGCCCTTAGAAGCCTCCCAGTCATTTTTTCTGAGACTTTAGTCTGGAGGTAACATTTTCCTGCTAGACATTATGAACAGATACTCCCAATACTTCTGTTAGTCTGAAAGGTGCCACAGGACCCTCTGTTGCCTATTATGAACAGAATAATCTGCATACAGTGTTACAGTGTGCTACCTAGACAGCAGGAACTGTCGCTGTTAAGACTGGACATGTGTTTGGGAGCTTTCCTCTAGTTGAGAGTTTTATGTCAAAATGTTATCAGTCTTCTCCATGAAATCCTGCTTATGGCTTTTTCATAGATTCATAGAGTTTAATGCCAGAAGGGATCATCTAGTCTGACCTTCTTATTTCACAGGACATTACATTTCCCCAGTTACCCTTGTATTGGGCCCAGTAACTTGTATTTCCCTAAAGCATATCTTCCAGAGAGGCATGCAGTCTTGGTTTGAAGACATTGAGAGATGGAGAATCCACTACTTCGCTTGGTCGTTTGTTTCAGTAGTTAATCACCCTCATTGTTAAAATTTGTGCCCAATTTCTAATTTGGATTTGTCTGGCTTTAGCTTCCATTGGTTCTTGTTATGCCTTTCTCTGAAGAGCCTTTTAGTACCTAGTATTTTCTCCCCAGGAAGATACTTATGTACTGCAATCAAGCACCTCTCAATCTTCTTTGATAAACTAAACAGATTGAGCTGTGTGTAACTAGAGTGGTGCTTCCTTGCAAGTGTATCAGCAGGCAGGAGATTACTGTAGAGTTCATTATGTGTGGCAAGAAAAGCCATTTTATATAATTGGATGTGTGACCCAGCCTGTGGAACTGTCGCACTGGTATAAGGTAGCAATGGAAACACAGGGCCTGACTCACCAGCATAACTTCACTTCGGTAGAGTTACTCCAGATTCTCACCAGTATGAGAGAAGTCAGATTCTGCAGAAAAGGCATGTTACAGACACATGTGTGCGCACACACCACGTGTCACTGCTGTAACTTAGGCCATAGCATGCTCTTTGGATGTACATTCCGTTAGTGGTTATGTGGTATGTGCTTTGTGTGGCCATGAAAAATAACTGGAGCATTACTTTGTCTTCAAAGCACCATGCACACATGATGCTGTATAAATACTAATCTCAGCCACCATTGGGTGGGAACTTGGCAAATGGATGGGCCATTGGAGCTGAAAACATCAATGAAAGACAGGATGTGGAGTTACAATTTGGGTGCTGATGGCCACCTCACCTGGCCGATTGCTAAATGGCACAGATTTAAAAGAGTCCATGTAACACGCCAATGTCTAAAATAAAGTAACAGCACAATGAGGATTATGGTGTAAAAATCTAGATCAAGAGAAAAAATGTGTCTGAAGCTACCAAGGGATGTGTGTGTGGTGGTGGTGGCGTAGTACTTTATTAACGATAAGTAAGGCTACGTTTTAGTCACAGGTATTTTTAGTAAAAGTCATGGACAGGTCACAGGCAATAAACCAAAATTCATGGCCTGTGACCTGTCCATGACTTTTACTATATACCCCTGACTAAAATTTGGGAGGGGGGCTGCCTGGGGGTGCCGAGGGTGCTGGGGGAGAGCAGCCCGGGTGCTTCGGGGGGGGGGAGGGAATGGTGGCGCGTGGCCCAGGACCCCCGCGGGTACTGGGGGAAAGGGTGACGGGGCCGGCAGGTTCCCTACCTGGCTCTGTGCCTCCCTCCCACCCACAGCAGCAGCAGAGTTTGGGTGTTGGAGGGGGTTGGGGCATGGAACAGGGTGAGGCAGGCTCTGGGTGGTGCTTACCTGGGGGCTCCCCTGAAGCGGCGACATCCCCCTCACTCAGGTCCTAGGCAGAGGTGTGGCCAGGCAGCTCTGTGTGCTGCCTCCGCCCAGAGCGCTGGCTTTGCAGCTCCCATTGGCCGGGAACCGCAGCCAATGGGAGCTGTGGGGGTGGTGCCTGCAGGCGGAGGCAGTGCGCAGCGCTGCCTGGCCACGCCTCCGCCTAGGAGCTGAGCAAGGGGGATGTTGCTGCTTCCCGGGAGCTCCCTAGGTAAGCGCCGCCCAGAGCCCTCCTCACCCCGTCCTGTGCACCAACCTCCTGCCTCTTCCCACACCCAAACTCTACTGCTGGGGGCGGAGCGGTGGCCTGAGATTGTGCGACTGGCACAGGGGCACAGATTTAATTGTCATGGAAAGTCATGGAATCTGTGACCTCCGTGACAAACTTGCAGCCTTAACGATAAGGCATGGGGTAGAGTAACCACCATGAATCAAGCTAACGAGATGAGGAATAAGCCTTCTTCTGAGCCCCATGGCACTGAAGGAGCATTGGGGTCCAATCCTGCTGTAGTTTGCCTTGAAGATGATGCATGATTATGCCTCTAGAGAGCAAACCATGAGCTTTATCTCCCCAAGGGTTATTTATTCACACAGTAGCTCCTTAGTTGCTCTGTGTTAACGAAGTGGAGAGGCGGGCATGTTCTCATCGTGTTTCTCTCTCTGCTGCCCAGGGAGACCCAACAAACGGATCGTGGGGACGATGCAAGGTGGAGAGACAGAGGATGATGTAAGTAGGAAAACATCTTGTGTGGGCTGCAGGGCATCTCTGATTGTCCATCACTGATGGCACTTTGCAGTGACAGACCTGCTCCCACAGCACTAGATGGCAGTGTTCCCCCAACAAATCTTCATCACACAGGCATTCTCCCCCCATTCCCCTTCCCATCTTCACCCTACACATCCCCACACCCTCTCTCTCCTGCATGTTGTTTCCCTGTTTTCTTTATTTAGCTTGTTTAGTCTCTGTTACTTCTCATTGCCCTAACTCCATTCTGTACCTCGTTAGTAATGACAGATCTCCTGTCTGTGCTAGAATTCCTAGCCCTGCCCACTTCTGTTCTGGCCAGCCATTGAGCTTGAGGCAGCAATGGGGTGGAGGGAGGGGTTGGGATTTTCAGCACAGTCGAGGGGATGTAGGCACGTTCATTTCAATGGAAGCTGTGTCTCTGTATCCCTGGGCTGCTTTGAAAATCCCACCATGGCTCTTTAAGACCTGAAAAATGGCTTGTTCTAGGGCAGGGGTTCTCAAACTAGGGGTCAGGCCCCCTCAGGGGGTCATGAGGTTATTACAAGGGGGGTCACGAGCTGTCAGCCTCCACCCCAAACCCCGCTTTTCCTCCAACATTTATAATGGTGTTAAATATATTAAAAAGTGTTTTTAATTCATAAGGGGGGTTGCACTCAGAGGCTTGCTATGTGAAAGGGGTCACCAGTACAAAAGTTTGAGAATCACTGTTCTAGGGGGAGGAAGGAGTCTAGCAATGTTGCCCTCAAGCTACTGGAGGGAAGGAGATTGTGAGGTGATTTCCTTCTCCCGGTCCTGCTGCCCAGCCGGGAGATTGGGTGGGGAGCTGCTTCTGCCTTCTGCCCCCTGCTGTTGGAGGGGAGATGGGGCCAGAGAAGGGACAGTGAAGGCTGACCCTGGTGACTAGAGGCTAGACAGGCCATGCTAGGGATAAAAGCACCCCCACCTAAGACCCATCAGGGAACAGGCAGACACTCTAGTTGCTCCACTTGTCCCTCTAGGGTCTAGTTAGCTGGTGTCCTCCCCCAGCCTGTCCTGTCAGCTGGGGCCCTGCCCTCTGCTGTCATTCTGTCAGTGACCGGCAGGATGGGCTCTGTGCAGTGCTGCTAGTCCAAGGGAGAGGGACCAGGCTGCTAATGGCAGGAAGCAGAGCTCTGTGGGGCTCTGCGTGCTCTGCCATTCGTAGATCTCCCTCTCAGCGCTGCTCGGACTCGCTCAGACTGAAGCCGGCATTAGGGTCTCAGAGGTGATGTTTCTTTGCTATAAAATATTTGGACTTTCCAAAGGCTGTTGACAAAGCCCCTCCCTAGAGGCTGCCAAGTGTGAGAGGAAGGAGCTGTCATGAATCAGAAAGGGCCTACGAGAGAGAGAGAGAGAGCGCAAAGAGCAGGAACTAATGGTGAATTATCAGCCTGGCAAAGATTAATAGTGGGAGCTTCAGAGTTCGGGACTTGGAGCAGTTGGCTTGAATCTCACGGGACCCACAGATTTGCCCCTGTGATCCATTCATTTGTGACCTCTAGGCTTGCTTACTGCATCCCAGTATCCCCAGGAATGAAGCCACATGCCCTGACAAAGCTCTAACTAGCACGAAATCCAGTAGCCTTCCTGCTTAGCAGCACAGCTCTAGTAAGCATAATACCCAGGCACTCCACACTGGTTCTCCATTGAACAGTCTGGTTCAAGGTCTCAGTCCTGCTATTCAAAGCACCTCCCCCACATGGGATTGGCCCTGTCTACCTAAGAGACACCTCTCCCTCCACGACCAGGATCTCAGGCACAGGCATGTGGGAGACAGAATTTAAAATGGGGTGGGACCAACACTGTGGAACTCACGGCCACAAGAGACAGGAATGACTGGGGACATTTACAGCTGAATGCATAAACCCAACATTTACAGCTGAATGCATAAACCCATCTCTGTCATGGCTTCCCCACAGAAGGTCTGTCCCCTGCCCCCAACACACCCCAACGAAACTGAGCTATACAAGCGGTCTCTCCTGCCAGCAGAGGAGAACGGTTGTTCCTGTTCGAGGTGTGTTTGATAGCTTTGGGGATGCTCAGATACTGTGAGGATGAGGGGGTCGGAGGCCCTAGCTCGATAGGCCAGCTCACAGTGTTCTTTCTGCTCAGGGCCCAGTGGAGTGAAGGAGAGAGTGACCCCTAGCCATCACCCTCACATTCTGTCTGGGCAGGAATTCACCAGGCCTTGCTCAGCAATTCGCTTCTGGCTTGAATTGGTTTGTTTAAGTTCATTTTGCTGCCTCCTGGGAAATGCCTCATTCTCTTAGTGTTTGGGACAGAGACACCCCCACTCCTGTGCAAGAGGCTGGCAGGTGACAAGTTCCCTGAATACCTGGTCTCCAGCCAATCCCTATCTGGCTCTCTGAGGAGTACAAACTCCCTCCGGTGTCAGCAGTATCCAGGGAAGGAAGTGTAGTTATCTCCAGGTGCAAGGCATGGATGAGTGAGCTGGATAGCTCACCTGACTTACAGCCCTTGTAAGGCAGCTCTTGAGAGCTGAGTGAGCTTTGGTGGGGGCCTGTTGCTGCAACAGGGAGAATGCAGGAGCCATCTAAAGAGAGAGCCTTCTCACTCAGCATTCTGGGGGCTAGGACTCCTTGGGCTGCTTCTCAGTTAGTATCAGGGGCTGCAGCTGCTTGGGAAAGCTTTCTGACTGTCTAGGCGCTCCCTGCCCCATCATTGTAATGTCTGAGGACACCGTCCAGGTCAGCAATGATTTATCCTCACAGCCTCCCAGGAGGGAGAGACATAGCAGCCCCATTTTACAGGAAGAGGGGTACTGGGGCACAGAGAAGGGCAGTGCCAGAGTTGGGAGTAGAACCTGGGTCTGCTGAGTCCCAAGCCAGTGCTTCAGCCCTAAGACAAGTCTTCCTTCTCCCATAAAGCTTGCAAAGCCCCTCCTAGCCCATTGCCCACAGGAGCAAGTGTTCCTCCAGGCACCCCATGGGGCCCAGACCCCTTCAGCGAGGCGAAGGATGCTGATCACCGCACAACTGTCAAGGACTGGGGCATGGGCATCAGATCCAATGCTTAGAGCCATAGGCATGAGGCCTGAGGAGTGTAGCCAAAGTCAATAGCTGGGGTCCAATGTCTAGTGTCAAGCCAGACTCAATAACCAGGAACAGAGGCAAGAGCCGGGAACAAGGCAGAGCGGGGATCTGCCTTGTTAATTCCTAGTACTGCCTCCAGGCTTAAATGGAATGTCTGGACCAATCAGAGGCCATGGGAGGAGCTGCCAGGCATCTCTGCTGTGAGCAGCACTTTCCGCGTGATGGGTTTCCCAGGGCTTATGGTGCATTGGCCGTGGCTCTGCCAAAGCTGGCTGGTGGAATCACTGCCCAGCCTCAGACCTGGGTTCAAGACTCTCAAATCCTCCCAACGAGCAGGGAGGGGTCCCCCTCCAGACTGGAAGGTGCATTTTGTCTTTGTTCACCTTCCTCTGCACCAGCCTGTGCTGGCCAGAGCCAGGCTATGGGCTTCCTCCATGGACTCTTGGCCTGAGCCAGGACAGGGATGCTGCCTAGCCCCTCAGGCTAGGCCCTGCACAGCTGCTTTCTCATTCTTGCTGTCTCCTGTCCACTCCCTTTTGTCCTTCTCTTATCTTTCTGTTTGTAGCCACTCCAGACAGAACAGGGGGGAGGTCAGGAGGAGTGGGGCCTGTTGACCCCTCCCCCCCCAACTCCACCTATTGGCACCTGTCAGGTCCCAGCAGCCACCCAGGCGTGGAGCTCCAGAGGCCCCAGCCCAGTAGCTCTCAGCAGCAGCTGCTTCAGTTCCTCCTGGAGCAGCACGCCAGCAGGTACCAGGGCTCGGCCACAACTACATGACTCCACCAAGGACAGACCCTCAGCCAGATATGGGTCAAAATATAGAGAAAGAAACCCAAGGAAGGGAAGGGTTAAATCCACTAAGGGAGAGAACCAGGCCATGGAGTAGGGCAGGCTGAGGGGAGAACACAGTGAAGGGACAGAGCTGGCAAGAGCTTTACACTGGAGCCAACAGCTGTGTGCCTGACCTCCCGGCCTGCTTTGCTTGTTTATCATAGAATCACAGAAGATTAGGGTTGGAAGAGACCTCAGGAGGTCATCTAGTCCAACCCCCTGCTCAAACCAGGACCAACCCCAACTAAATCGTCCCAGCAAGGGCTTTGTCAAGCCTGACCTTAAAAACCTCTAAGTATGGAGATTCCACCACCTCCCCAGGTAACTCATTCCAGTGTTTCACCACCCTCCTAGTGAAATAGTGTTTCCTAATATCCAACCTAGATCTCCCCCACTGCAACCTGAGATCATTACTCCTTGTTCTGTCATCTGCCACCACTGTGAACAGCCGAGTTCCATCCTCTTTGGAACCCCCCTTCAGGTAGTTGAAGGCTGCTATCAAATCCCCATACACATTGCGTTTAGGGCAGGGCCTGGATTTCCCTTCTATCTATCCAGCACCCAGCCCACCAGGGCAGCTATGATAATAATGATAATCATCTTCACTGGGCTTGCTGCCTTGGCCTGTGCCAGGGCAGGGCACCTACTGTGGCAGCTGAGCTGTGTGCTGCGAGAGCAGAGACACGACCTCGGAGTTGGTGAGCCGCTTCCTGAGCCTGTAGCTCCGGCTGAGCTGCTCCTCGGACCAGGTGCGCTGGGGGCTGCTGCAGGGGCAGAGAAGGAAGGTGAGTTTCAAGAAGCTGCCTGCTGCCCCAGGCCAGCACGTTTGCAGTGGGGAGCAAAGTGAGCCCAGGTCTGCTTTCCTTACCCACCTGCTCCTCTCCTCTGTCCCTGCCCTGCCTCTCTCAACCAGTCTGGGACCCCCCTTTCAGGGAGAAGCTCTGTTCTCTTCCAGGGAGCCTGGCTCCTGGCAGACAGTCATGCAGGACAGTCTGCAGACCTTTAGCCCTGGTAAGCAGCACGTCTCTGGGCACCATTGCCCTGTGCATGCTGTTTGGAGTTGGCTTTCCAGGTTCCGTCCGTGTATCCCTTCCTGCATCCCTTCCTGTAGCATCCTGCTTTGCAACAAACAGCTCAGACATTGCACACAGCACCCTCAGCTGTGAGCGGCATTTGCTGCTGCCTCCTTCCCTTGCTCTCACTTTGTTTGCGTTCTGTTTGCTTTTCTTTTTAATGTTTTTCCCTTCTCCATCTCCCATTGTTCTCTCCACTCTCGCTCTCCAAGGTGGGATCAGCCCAAGCCCAACCAGGTAAACACAAGACCTCCAGCACCAAGGCACAGGTGGGTTTGTCTCCTGCGGTTCGTTTCCTCACCCTTATCCTAGGGCACTCAGCAGTTCCCTCTATGGTCCTGCTGCCCCCCCCCCCCGCCCAGATTCAGCAGTGGTAAAGAAATCCATTGTCACCACCCCACTAGGGGACTGGAAAGGAGGTCTTCAGCAGCATGAGTGGAGCAGCCACTGCCTAGCAAAGTGGGAGATTGCTGCTGAAAGCTGTGTAGTGTCTTTAGTTCCCACCGGTGGTGAGGGCTCCAGTCTCTGAGCATTTCTGAGAGTCAGCAGCTCCAGCCTGTGCTGTTGGGTCAGTAATGAAGCCATATACAGAATCCCTGTTGCTGCTCCTTATGCCAGAGCCAAAACTGGACACCGCCCCACTGTGTGCTTCTTGGCAACAGGGTCATTATCTCAGGATGGGGGGACGTGGTTCTGGTTAATTTCAGCACAGGCGGGGAACGTGACTGCAGTTCCTCTCAGCACAGGGTGATGTGCAGGTTTCCCCTGTGCCAAATTTCTGGGCACACAGAAGCCATGGACATTGCAGGCTTTGTACGTTTTGTCCATTGAGGATAGCACTGGTTTGAGAAGGGATTGGCCATGAATTCTGTACCCACTGCTTTTTTACAGGAGGAGTCGGAGGATAGTGAGATTGACCTGGACGATGATGAAGACGATGATGATGATGACCTTGAAGATGACAGCATGGAAATCTCTCCCAGCAAGGCCAATCGCCGGGCCAGGAAGCCAGAGCCACTGGAAGAGAGTGATAATGACTTCTGACTCTCCTTCGGAGGTGGAACCACTCAACATCTCGAGATGAAAACTTCTGACAGCGAAAGGGTTGGGAATGTAACACACGCTGCTGTGCCTGCAGGTATTTTATAGAGGAATGAAATTCGGAGTCAGTAAATAATAAAGCTATGTTCACAGTGACAGTTAAACTTTAATTGCCAATCTCCTTCCCTGCTCGTCTTTCCCAAAATGTGACTCATTCTGATGATAATTAAAAGTGACGTGATATTAAATACTTGTTTACTTAACCTGTTGGGAAGTGGGATTGTATCTGAGCATTAGAACTAGAGTTCCACACTCCATGATGCCAAAGGTTTGAAAACCACTACCAGATGGTGGGTTAGGCCTTGTCTACACACAAACCTGTACCAGTGTAACTAGTACTGATTACAACTGACACAAAACCCTTGTGTGGGTACATTTGAATTGATTTAAATCTGCTTTATATTGATTTAGCCAAAACTGATTCCTTACCAAATTAAGGGTTTGTTCCCACACAGAGGTTTCGCCAGTTTAACTATAGGTGTGATATTAAACTATTAGGGATAAGCCATTGCAGAACACTGTGTGGATGCTGTTATATTGGCATAAACCCATTTTATATCAGTAATTTATCTTAAATCTGTCAGGAAGAGGGTTAAGCGAAACTGCAATAACCTACTCTTGAACCACCATCACAGGGCTTTGCAGCAGTTGAACTAAATCAGCATAAGCATCAACCCTTTAGTTAAAGTCCTAAGCCTGTATGTAGATCAGGCCGTAGTCTCTTGCAATGAGTGCAGTCAAATAGGTCCAAAGTTTGTCTAGCTGCCATGGGTTTGCCTTCATTGCAATGCGTGCCTTACAGGACCTTCCTTCTTTGGATGTCTTTTGCATGATACCACTTGATATGACAACTAGGTAGAGATTCTCTTCCATAAACAAGCCTAAAAAGTCACAGAAGTCTATTGTACTATCAAATTCTGCTGTCCTCCTGCATGCTAAACAAGCTGTTTTGTTTATATAGATCCCCATGTTTCAGAAATAAATGTATTTTCTGCATTGATTCATGTGACTTTTTTTATTGAGAAGTTTTAGTAGGTTAGGCTGGCACAATTCTTGTTGAGAAACCATGTAGTAGGTTAGAGAAAGCTTGAGTGCATTCACTTCATGTGTCAGTTAGGTCTGCCTCACTTGCTTGTCAGCTCTGCTGTAGAATGGCATAGCGTCCCGGGAACAGACATTACTCCTTGATTAGAGCACTTCACCTTGGCACTTGTTCATCAGGACAGTTGAGTGGCCCAGTTTTGTTCCCATATTGCTGGCACCCTGCTAGCCTGGCATGTTCTACATCTGGAAATCTGTCCTTGTTTTCCCTACATCTGCGTTACAGACGTGCGTCTATCCGTCTTCATTATTAGTACTGCAGAAAGGAAGGAACATTAAGTAGTTCAAGGTGAATTTCTTCATGCCGCCCACCCCAGCCATTCCTTTCGCACCAGTGCGGTGCCAGTCGATAGAGCAAGGAGGTTGAAGTCTAACTTTATGTTGGTGCACAAGGAGCCATCTTTTTTTTCAGTGTTTGTACAGCACCTTGTACAATGGGGTCTTGGTCGATGATGAGTGTTCCTAGGTGTTACGGTAACACAAATCAACACCGATAATATCGTGACTCACCTAGACTTTAAAGACTCACCGTAACGGATTGCTAGGAGAGCTGTTTGCCTTATTGTATACCCAGTAAGTTAAAGGAGTTTTGTCACTTGCTTCAAAGGGACCAGCGAGCCCCTGCCTTGCTGCTGTGTGATTCCACGGGTGCTAGCTAGCTGTGAACTGTCAGGTAGGCCTACGCTACACAATCCATCACGGAATCCCAGCGCCATTCCAACAGTTAGCAGGGGACCTGCGCTCTACCTCCACTTCCAACACTCTAGTTACATATTCTGCCTGGAATCTGCTGCGCACTGAGAGAGGCGGAGGCCATTGCTTTCACCACCCCCACCTATCAAACTGATGTCGTACCCCAGACTGAGAGTTGCTGCTCATAAAACCAAGCCTGGCCCCTGTGCTGGGGTGCTGTTAGTTACATATCCCATGTGTTATTGTCTCCCTTGTAACTGCATCGAACAGAGTCAAACATATTCTATGTAGTAACACAGAGCACAGTACTGCCAACTAGCACTGTCCGTACACAGCTTCAGCCAAACAACAAGGCTGACGTTCGTAGGCTTACGTCCTGCATCCAGCCTGGACAAGACACCCCTTGAAGGCTCCAGAAACACCATTAAGAGCACTCAGTGGCTTTGCCACAGAAACGCTTTTTTAAAGAAAAATTGTTGCAGAAATCACCGACTCCGCTCACCCCTTAGTGTCATGGCGCTGGCACATGTGCAAAGGGAATGCAGCGTGGGTTTGAAAATGCTCCTACTGTTGTGCGGATTCCTGACGTGGACAGCCACTTCAGCCACGTGACAATTATGGCACAAACTGCAGCTCAGTGAGGAGTCAGGCCCGTTCATGCCAAACTGCTGCCAAGGAACAGGTCCCATTGTGGCAGGTGGCCCTAGTATCCTGCTGACCTCTGAGTGCAAGACCCCCATAGATTAGGGCATAGGGGCTGAGCACAGCGCGGCTAAAGCCACTCCCACCCCACCCCCACAACTTCCCCCCCCACCTTCCCCCTCCCACCCTCCACCCCCCCCCGTACGATGAGGTTGGTAGCACATCTGCTGCCCCTGAGGCGAGACAGGCATGACAGGGACACCATTACAGCAGACATTTGCTTAGCCAACCCCCTTTTACTTGAAATACCCTTCTGGTGGATAATGAATAAATTCCCCCCAGTGTATCATTTGCATGGAAAGCTGCCTGTTTAGCTAAACACATTTCATTCCCTTGTTCCGTGAACAAGGGGTTCACTGAGTGCACTGCTGGGAACACTGATCAACTGTACAGGCCTTCACTGCTGAACTCTGCTCAAAAGGCTGGAGGAGACGGGCTACGGGCTTGTTTGTGGTAGGTCTGAGCAGCGATTAAAAAAACCCAACAACCTCGCATCTGCGTTTGCTGCTCAGTAAGTGGAAGTGAGTGCGGCCGAGGCCTGTGCTATTGTTAACCACCAGTCATGCATGACACAGGCCAATGTAGTCAGAGTAGGTGTGGCCAGCTCTTCAACAGCAGGGGACCTGGAGGGCTGAGGTCAGGTGGTGTCTCCAGGAGCGGGCTGGCTCTACAGGGTCCCAAGTAAGATGTGCCTTTCACCAGCAAGCACCACACAATAACAATGGCTAGTTCCTATTTTAAGTATGGGAAAATCTATCATGGCCCAGACTGCCTTCCCCCGCCCTCCCGCGCTGTGGGATTGACAAAGGCGGTGTAGTGGTGACCAGCTGGGCCAGCGGCTCACTGCGGCTCCCTACCTCGTTGTATGCAGCTCACCCAGCAAGGGGCTCACGGGAAAATGAACTGTTGTATAGCCCCTGGGAACACCGCAGGCCAGCCTCTGAGCTCAGCTTAGCACGGACACCTGTGTAAAGCCTAGCTGACTGCACTGATGCTGTGTTTACACTAGTGGCACTGAATTCACAGTGGCCTACTGCTCTAAATGAGGCATTTTCAGCGCCATGTTCATTCCTAGCTTTGGTTCATGCTCATGCAGAGAGCCAGGGGCCCTGAACAGAGTGCCACTCAGCATGGACTGACTGGCCCAGGTCTCAGTGCTGCACGCGACAGCCAAAAAAACCGGCACAGCTCATTTAGTGAGACCGGGTGAATGAGGTAAGAGCCACTCCCATGACCTGAAGCAGAGCTCTATGTATGCTCAAAAGCTTGGCTCTCTCACCTACTGAAGTTGGGCCAAATACAAGCTATTACCCCACCCACCGTGTCACGCTAATATCACATACAGCTGAGGGCATTCTGTGCCAAAAAATTAAAAATGCTGCATCAAAAAATTAAAAATTCTGCACACGTTTTGAAATTCTGCAAATTTTAGTTGTCAAATAAATGTGGACGCTGCAGCATAGCACTGGGGAGCACAGGCCACTGGCTGCACAGAGATGGGAGCTCACTCTGCAGTCCTCCCCTCCCCCCCAGGAAACAGACTCAGTGGTGAGGCTGCACCCAATCCTGACACAGTGCAAGAACCGGGCCTGCCCCAGAAACACCCCAGGGCCCTGCCCCTCCGTGCCAGGTGCACAAGGTGTGGGCAGGAAGGCAGCATCCAACTGTGGAAGGGCTTAATGGGGGGGATCCGGGTATGGGTTGAAAGGATTCTGGGTGGGAGTGGTTCCGTGGAGGATCCAGATGCACAGGGGCTTGTTGGGGGGTTCTGGGTGCAACAGTAATGGGAATCTGTGTGGGAGGGGGTGCGTCTAGGTGAAGATGGTTGGGGCTCAGTGGGGCTAAGGGGGTCTGGGTGTCCAGATACTGGGAGAATAGGGCTCAGTTGGGTGGGGATCCAGGTGCAGCTGGTTGCGGGCTTGGTGGGGGGGGGGCTGGTCAAGGGGGAGGGGGGCCTTGTCGGTGGGGTTCTGGGTGCAGGAGTGGATGAGGCTCAGCGGGAGGGTTTGGATATGAGGGGGGTCTGGCTGCACAGGGGTTGGGCAGATGGCGGAGCAGCTCACTGTACAGGGATCCCTCACCCTTCAGCTGAGGAGCGATGGGTGCAGGAAGCACATGGGGGTGGGGAGTTTGCAGAGCTTCCTACAGCCACGGGAGAAATCTGGGGGTGAGTCTGACATGCCCCCGGATACCGTGCAGGGTAAGAGGAAAACCCCTCCTCCCCACCCAGCCGGGACTAGCAGCAGAGCCCAGCGCAGGGTAGGAGCAACCAGATGGGTCTTCCTCAGTGCCACCCCCTCTCCCACAGTGATTTACCTCTCTGCTGGCTGCCCTGGGCACCTGAAACATACTGCTTGGGGAGCATCGCTCTTGTGGCTTCCCTTTGCTTCCCCGTCAGAAAGTCATTTTTCTTCAGGGAAGCAAAGAAATCTGTGAGGGACATATGTTCTGTGCCAGTGCAGCAGGGCCGGCTCCAGGCACCAGCTGAGCAAACTCATGCTTGCGGCGGCAGATTCTACGGGCGGCATTCCACCCAATCCTAGGGCGGCACGGCCGCTTTTTTTTTTTTTCACCAATCCGGCCGCCCTGTAGGGGGCGGTGGCGCGGAGGAGCGGAGCGCCCTGCTGGGAGTGGGCTGCGCGCTCCGTCTGCCCCAGCTGGTGCCAGGTCTGTAGCAAACCCGGCAGAGCAGCCCGCGTCCTTCCCTGCCCGCCGCCCCGCTGAAGCCCTGGCCGCCCCTCTTCTCTTCCCCCCCACTCCCTCCCCCTCCCCCCGCTAGCTGGGGCACGTCGGCAGCACAGAGAGTCCCCCTGCACTCTGGCTCCGGCCGCCCCGCAGATTTTTTTTTTCCTTCTTTGCCGCTCCAGCCGTGCCGCAGGTTTTTTGTTTTTTGTTTTTTTCCTGCTTTGCTGCTCCGGCCGCACGGCAGGTTTTGTTTTTTTTTGCTTTTCCGTTCTGGCCGCCCGTAGTTTTTTTTTTTTTTTTTGTTTGGGGCAGCAAAAAAGCCAGAGCCGGGCCTGCTGTGCAGTGGCGCAGAATTCCTCCAGGAGTATAATATCCTGGGGCCAACATGACAAACAGCCAATGACTTGCGAAGAGCCTTGCTGTCCTGCCCTGCCCTTTTGGAAGAAGGTTCCCCCAGCTGGTGAAGCTGAGATAGGGTATTCTCAGGGGGAAAAAGTGTCCTGCTCCAGTTTGTTTTATTGGGAAATTCCAGGGCTGGGTGACCCAGCCCTACAGCTCTTAGTTCCCAGCTGCCAAACTGCATCGAGCACCATCTGTCTGCGGAGGGAGACTCAGGCTCTCTGGCCCAGACCCTCAAAGGGGTGAGGGGCCTAAATACCTTTGAGGCTCCGGGCCTCTGGCTAGAAGCCCCAGCCAGTAGCCTTGTCTTAGCAGGTTCTGCATGTTCCATTAGTTGGCTGGGGGGGGAAGGGTAGCTAGGGAGGTTTGGCAAGTCCATGGGCCTTTTCATAAGATGGCACCATGCTGGGCTTAGCTGCA